GTTATTCGCAAAATCGTATAATATTTTTTTCAAGCACTCTCCTTCTTCATCAAAAAGTCACACGCTGTCGTATTATAATGTAAAAACAAACACATGAAAGAGTACGAGACGCGATTCATTACTATTGACGAAGCATTTCGTCGTGTCGTATATATAAAAAAATCACGGAACGCGATTCATTACTGCTGACAAAGCGTTCGAGTACACATCATTTTTTTTATTTTCCTGCTGCGTGTCGTATACTTGAGCTACATCGCGATGTCCTCCGCGTTCGTCATCGTCGTCGTCGTCGTCGTCTTCGTTACGCTTACTACGACAACAGCGTCAACGACAGCGATGAATCGTCAAGGCATAGATACTGAAACAATTCTGTATCTACAAAAGTACGGCTACTTGCGTCAGAGTGAAAACATTACACAATTATCATTCGAAGAGGAAGAACTTAAATAGGCGATTTCATTATTTCAAGAATATTATCAAATACCGGGTGATGGTACATTGAATAACTATACGTTGTATCAAATGCGTAAACCACGATGTGGTCTCCCGGACATTTTGCATCACGAGGTATATACAGGTAGGAGGAAATGGGCAAAAACACATCTCACATGGAACTTCCATTTAGCGGAGTTAGTGCACATCTTGAAAACTACCGCATTCGCGTTCTCACTATGGGCAGTCACTCACTATGAATTCGTCTTTAACGTTCCAACGTAAAACGTTAAATCCCGACATCTTAATATCTTATCGTAGTGGCACACACACGTACGCTGATCGTAAACGTAGCGAGGAGATTTGCTCCGCCTCGTTCGATGGACCTGGTGGAGTACTCGCTCCCGCGTTCTATCCTTCAAATGTTGTCAATTACACCGTTGAAATACACGTGGATGCTGCAGAACTGTGGCATATATATCTAACCGAAAAATCTGCTAGTAACAAGGATTATCTACTTAATACGTTAACGCATGAAATTGGACATGCATTAGGATTAACACACAGTTCGGGTGAAGATTCCATAATGTTCGCTGCTAATGATAAGGATAAAATCGTTAGACTCAACATAGAGGACATTTTAGCCATTCAACAACTCTGCGGAGATAAAAATCCAAAACCAACAACTACACAACCACCGACGTCAACAACAACACCACCACCACCAACTACCGAAATTACAACAGATAAACCCGAGTACATAGATCTCTGTAGTTTACAATATGTAGATACGATATTGGTATTGCATCATCGAATATTCGTCACGTACCAACGTTACGTATGGTCGATAAATATAGATGATACAAAATACGACGGACCATACATACTAAACAGCTATATGGATTTCCTTCCGGAGAATTTCTCCTTCAGCCACGTATCAAAGACCTTCGGGTGAACTAGTACTGTTTATAAATAATATTGTCTACATGATCGAGTACCCCAGTTTCAAATTGAAAGAAGGTTGGCCAAAACATCTCTCGAGTCTAGGATTTCCCCCGAACACTTTCATCGATACCGTAGTAAATACTAACAGAGGACAAACCTACGCGATTTTCAATGGTAACGACGTGGCGCAGATAGACGAATGTATAATAGTATGACTGTTCGTTCGTATCAACCGTTACAAGCGGTATTCCCAGGAATACCGCCAGCTCCGACCTTGGCCTTCCGATATATAAATGGTAATCTGTACTTTGCCAAACAACAACAATTTTACACATTTAACGAGTTCACGAGAACCGTAACAGAGGCTGATAAATTTAATATAAACGTACTCCACGTCGAATATTTGCGAAACGGGTTATTACAACAAATGCAGGATATCTTAGATCGATTATTTCAATCGAATAATACACATTGACAAAACACTGAGAAATAAGACGAAGAAGGAGGAGGAGGAAGAAGAAAGGATGAAAGAACACATATAATATATACTATAATAATTTTTAAACGATCAGTACGAAAGGAACGATCATTCCGACAACATCGTTCGTACGCACTTTCCAAGCTTTTTTTCCCGATCGTGAGAATGCTCAACAACGCGGATATTATAAATTATCTTATGGAACAGGACGATCGCGATGAACAAAGCACGAAGAAGAAAAAAACAGTCGACGAGTCAACTGATGCGAATCCAGATAAAGATAACATATCAAATAGGTAGATCTTCTTTTTCCCTTTGCGTCTCTTTTCCATCTGCCAATTTCTTTTTTTCCTTAATTACAGACATCAAATCGCACACCGTCCTACCGTACGCATTCTCGAGAGAAGATATCCGTTAACTGCAACTGGCTACAAATACTTGAACATTGGTATCAATGTCACACTCCCTTCTTATTATCATTTTGGGAGAGTGTCACGGTAAAGAGATTCCGCTTTCACTGGACATCTGGAGAGAGCTTCTCGAACAAAAACACGTCATTTTGTCCCTTTTGCAATACGACGAAAATAATAAAGGAATACGTGCGCCGTCTCCAATGTACGTTGGAAATCTAACGTTACGCTTCGGAATTAATAATCTACCAATACTGCGTCTAGAAACAAGTACAGCTTGTCTATCCATGTCGAAAAGTACTGTACTTAATATATTTAATCTCGAACACTGTGAGAATCGTCTCATTTCCTCTCTAACCGCAATGACCGATAACGTCGATAAAAAATTTTCACGACTTCTTGCTATCGCATCCACTGTCACGAAATCTGCGAACGTGCTAAAAACGATGTACGATAACGAATCCTTCGATCGCAACGACATACTCGATTGCGAGTTGATCGCTTTGATTTTTTGGAGAACGTTAATTGTATATATCAATTAATGCTAACGATGAACGTATACGTTTTTACAATATGTGAAATTATTTTGTACTGTACTTAATATTTAATCTCAAACACTGTGTAATCGCATCGTCTCATTTTTCCTCTCTAATCTACGTATGTATCCCTATGTATCCCTATCTATTTTATATATATACAATTTTATCTTCACGTAAAAAACAGAAAAAAAAGGAAACTCGCGCTGACGCAAATTTAATAGGAAAAAAATAGCAAAAGGAAGACGGAAATGGATGTGAAATCATACGATATATATAATTATTCGCACTAAACGAGCGTTAGTAGTGAAAAAAAACATGTGAGCTTATGTTTCTTCGTTCGTTATTTTGTCGAAATCGATAAAAAGTATGGCGGACCGTGCGAACATTGACAACGTAGTCAATTATATTAGAAACGTGGACACGGAACAATTCGAAAATATTATAGACGAAATGTTCGAGGAAATTGATTTTGACGTAGATGAAAATTCCAACGATTCCGATTACGTTAGTGATTTTAGCGAACACGATCTTTGAGGATGCGGTGAGAAAATTTAAATGTTGGTGCGAGCGAGAGCGACAATCCGTATCTTTAAGGAGGTAAGATTATATTATTATATTATATTTACAGCGAGTGAGAAACGCGTTGGTGCGAGCGAGAGTGACAGCGCACGCGGGAAGAAACATACATAAAACTGCGAAACGGAAAAATAATGGATTATTATTATTTCGCTATCCTTTTTTTATTACTATTAAACTAACAACGATCGAACGCAACGAAAACGTTGGTGCGAGCGAAAGCGACAAACGAAACGTTGGTGCGAGCGAGAGCGACAGCAAAAATGGGGATTCTTACCGTATCTTTAAGGAGATAAGATTATATTATTATATTATATATACAGCGAGTGAGAAACGTGTTGGAGCGAGAGCGACAGCGCGCACGCGGGAAGAAAAAACACGCGAACTCCCTCAGTCGCTCGCCCGCTCTCGAGCTCGTCGGATCGTCGTCGTCGTCGCGACGCGTCACGCCGTCACCAGCTCACACACACACATGCGCCCGTGGGGACGGGGGCCGGGGAGGAAAACTGCGAGAGGTGGTGGGAGGACAAAGCAGCTCGCTCATTAGCTGCCCCCCCCGCACCACAATACCCCTCTCGTCCAGTTTTCCCCCCCGGCTCCTCACCCCGCGGCTTGCCTCATGACTTAGAATATACATAGATATGCTACTATTGGGCGGCTGGGCGAATGCCCTGCTCGGCCTCATGCCCAACCTTCGCGGTCCGAATGCGTCGGTCAGGCGGGTGTATATGCGCGCCGTCCTGTCCGGGGCCTATTATGGAGTCCCAGTATGGAGCGGGCAGGCCCTGGCCAGTCGCCGTATCCAAGGCAGATTGCACAGCATGCAACGGCGACTGGCCTTAAGAATCTGTAGGGCGATGTCTACAGAACGGTGTTTTATGCGGCCGCTGTAGTCCTCGCGGGGATCCCCCCCTGCCGAGTACGTGGTTGACGCCCTGGCGGAAACCTATGCCGGGGTGAAGGTCATCCGGCTACACGGGGGGGTCGTTACCCCGGGGACCGTTGACCGACTGAGCGGGAAGGCCTGTCGGAGGGTGTTTCGGGAGTGGCGCGCCGCTTTCGAGAGCAACCCGCTGACAACGGGCGTTCGGACCGTGAAGGCCATCCTCCCCTGCCTAGAGGAATGGGTTGGCAGAGGATGAGGCGGACTCTCATACCACATGACGCAGGTGCTCATCGGACACGGCTGTTTCGGGGAGTACCTGCGTCGAATAGGAAATAAGCCGACCGCGCGCTGCTTCCATTGCGAAGGGGACCGGGACACCGCGTAACACACGCTAGAGGTTTGCCCGGCCTGGGCAAGCGAGCGCGGTGTCCTGGTCCGTGAAATAGAGGGCGATCTCTCCCTGCCGGCCATCGTTAGAGCGATAGGCGGGAAGAGCGCCTGGACGGCATTCTCTTCCTTCTGCGAACAAGTCATGTCGCAGAAGGAGGAGG